TAATAAAGAGGTAATATGCAAAGTAACTGTCACTCCAACACACAAGATGGTATCCCCAACGTGATCAAAGATGTCTGCTTCCATGTGGACACAAGATGGCCACCACAAGATGGTTGGCAGGGGAGGGTAGTTGGGAGGGACATGGCCTGCAGGGGAGGGAAATTGGGGATAACCAGACTGACAAGGGAGGGCAGTTAGGGGTAGCTGGGCCAGCAGTGAAGGGCATTTAGGGGCAAATAGGATGGCAAAGGAGGGGAGTTAGGGGTGACTGGACCAGCAGGGTAGGGCAGTTGGGGGTGACCAGGCCTGCAGGGGAGGGCAGTTGGGGGCAATAGGGCTGGCAGGGGAGAAGTTAAGTGTTGATCAGGCTGGCAGTGGAGCAGTTAGGGGGTGATTCGGCTGGCAGGCATAAGTGGTTAGGGGCAATCAGGCAGGCAGATAGGCGAGAGTGGTTGGGAACTAGCAATCCTGGATTGTGAAAGGGATGTCCGAATGCCTGTTTAGGCCCAATCTCACCAGGATCTGGTCTAAATGGGCAATCAGACATCCCTTGAGGGGTCCCAGATTGGAGAGGGTGGAGGCTGGATTATGTGTTGGGCTGAGGATGCCCCGTAAACCCTGCACATGAATTTCGTGCACTGGGCCTCTAGTCCTATATAATAAAAGGCTAATACGCAAACTGTCCCCTGGACCAGGAGTTTGGAGTTTGACCAAGGGGCAGGACTGGCCAGCCAACCACCCGCAGCCCCTCTTCCCCACTGGCTGCACCCACAATCATTCCCCCAATTGAGGGCGGAGTCAGCTGGCCTACTGCCTGTGGCTCCTCCCCCTGGCCAACCAACCGCCTGCGGCCCCTTTCTCTGGCTGGCCAACCGCCCTTGGTCCCAACTGGCCTGATAGGCCCCAATCGGGGCAGGCTGGCCAGACACCACCCATGCACGAATTTGTGCACTGGGCCTCTTGTTAGAAAATAAATTCTGTTTGGGAAGAGATGAGGATAATTCAAAGAAGAGAAACAAGGGAAGAACTGTAGAGAATATCAATATTAAAGGACAATGAGATGAAACCAGGAGATAGTGGTATCCCATAAACCAAGGAAGAAAAGAATTTCACAAAAGTTAAAGAGGCTAATAGGTTTTAGTCCTATGAAAAGTTGAGTAAAATAAGGCACAAAAATATTCATATGTGTGTTTATTGGAGAGGAGGGTTTTCTCAAAGACAGAAAAATAGCATATTTAAAGGCTGATGATAAAGACCCAAAAATAGAGAAATTGAAGATATCGATTTGTGGTTAAATGGAAACAGGTTCCTTAGGATACAGACAGTGAAGATATTAAGACTATACACACGTATATTAGCCATACCTAGTCAAAAGAGGACAGTCTCTTCCACCAAGGCAGAGGGGAAAGAAAGAGACTGTGTGAAAACAAATATAATCTGTGAGATATTACTTTAATTAAATTAAGAGGGGAAAGTCATCTACTATAAATGGTGGGGAAAATTTTAGGAGAACCTTAAAAACTTGAAATAACTGTTGAGGAAAATTGAGAAATTTTACTAGAGAGGCATAGAAAACATGAATAAGTACTGGTGAATCTGTTAAAATGTGCTATTTCAGAAATGGAGTAATATCTGCTAATAAAACAGTACAGTTATGCAGGTGGGTAGCTGAATTGAGGAGATTTGGGAAATGGTAGATTTTGTAGATAGCAGTACAACCCACATGGGCTCAGGTTATTAAGGAGGAAGGCACAATTTGAGTGGGCAATACTGTGAACCTGGTGTCAAAGTCTTCAATGAAAATGTAATATAATAAAATGATGACCAATAGATAGATGGCTACTTGGCATGAAACACAAGGGAATGGATTTGCTTTTTTTACATAGAGAGTGGTACCTTTGGAATTGGCCCTTCAATTCTAAAGGAGTGGATGTATGAAAGAGTCATTAATCTTAGTAGTGTTCTGAAGGGTAAAAGTGGTTTCCATGGATGAAGAGAGTGAGTATACAGGACTGAGACTTTGCCTTGGGAAAAGGGTTTCAGAGTATGAGAGCACAGGAAGGCACTAAAAAGAGGAAGTGAGGCAGAGAAAAGAGAGTGAAGAACATAGAGATTAAGACTCATCAAAGAACAGATGAATAGAAGTACTTATATTCTGAGTTGTAAACACAGATAACAGAAATAAGAGGAAGTTGAATAATTGGCTTGAGATTTCCTACAGAACTAGGTTAAAAGTTGATTTGTTATGGGTGTAAATAAGCAGAGGTCCCCAAAAGAGCCCAAGGCCTGTTTACCTTAACAGCTGGTAGGAAGATTTTTAAAAGCACATTGTACAGGTCCCAATTCTTGGACACCTTATCATATTATCTTCTGGTCAGGCAGGTTGTTTTGTTGTTTTAACTACCAACTTACATTACAATGCCTGTGCTCAATTCAAGAAGTTGAGTAGCTAGATGTATTATTCAGCTAGAAATTCTGAACTGTGGTGATATAAACAGAATGAGGGAAAGAGCACTGAAGTAAGAGTGATAAAGTCCCAGATTGTGTCTTGTCTGATTCTCAAAACTTTATGTGCATAAGAATCATCTGAGGGTCTTGCTTAAATGCAAATACTGATTCATTAGGTCTGAAATCTTACACTTCTAAGGAGCTCACTGATGATCCATATTGGTTGTTCAGAGACTACACTTGAGTAGAAACATCCCCTAGAACTCAAGTTTTAAGTCAGTGCCCTACATTAATTTATGTATAAAACACATGGTTAATAAAGAAGAAAACACTATGTTATGTTTAAAAGTATATAAAATTGAACTGAAAATATCCGAGGATATTATAATTGGCCGAGAGCACTTGAAATTGAAAGAATAAAGTAAAGAGAGAGAGAGAGAGAGAGAGAGAGAGAGAGAGAGAGAGAGAGAAGGTAATATTTAGTCATTTTTTAATGGATGCCTAAAAATGAATTAATAGCACTCAAGTTCATAAGACAGGCCTCCCATGTGTTCCAAATAACCTATATAAACAGACAGGTGAAGAAGTAGAAAATTAATGTACATCAAAACTGCATATCCATCATCATTATGCATTTCTCTCAAGGATTTTTAATATATATATACATTATATTTAGCCTGAAGGAAATGTCTAGGTAAATCATTTTATGTCCTATTTTAGTAGGCAATTAAAAATATGTTGTTATTTCAGAAAAAGAGAGTAGAAGTTGATAAAGGTGACTCACAAGGCATTAGAAAACCACTCATACAATATTGTATACTTTTTTTTTTTAGCACTTTCAGTCTGTCATTGCTGACACTATTGATTAAATGCAAATTGCTTCTAGGTAACCATATGATAACAGAACATTTTTAAAGTTGCATTCCTTAAATGCTGGGACTCAATTTTCCTGCTTGATCAAAGTAGTTTTAATATACAGAGGGTGATGAACATATAAGTAGATTATTCAAATAGATTCAAAAATGTTTAATTAGCTAATAAAATGTCTGCCCCAGGAGATTCTTACTTTCAGTTGTCAAATATGTCACATGAATCTGGAAAGGATTTAGAGGGCATCTTCTCAAAGTAATTTTCTAGCCATAGAATTACCTTAAAAACCCTAACAAAAATACCTTCACCCAGATATACTTTGAAATAAGACATTTTGCTAAGTTTCTCCTAAATATTATACATTATTCTTGAGTTTAATTTTCAAACTAAGATATTAACAAATATAATCATAGTTCCCATTTATTGCAACTATTTATACTATTTTGCTATTATTAGATAACAGGCTATTATATAAAGCTAATAATAAATTTCTAATTTATAAATAGTGAGTTCTGAGAAATGTTGATGAAATTATCTCTTATCCTCAATCAACCTAAAAAATAGATTATTTTTCCCAGAAGATTTTTTTGTTCTCCAAAGGTTCTATCTCCACATCAAGTATTAACTTGCTTCTGATTTAGTATTGTATGAGTTAAAAATAGATTTTGTCATTCATGAAATAGAATGCTTGAAAGAATAGGCAGAATTAATCCACACACATGTAACCTTCCTGTTGTTCAAATTATTTGACATTGAGGATATTTTTTTTCTTTAACCTGCCCACTGCAGATTATTTACTCTGCCTGCTAGAAATCTTCTTACAAACTACAAGCACATCACAGAGATATTGCAAGTCTGGTTCCATGCCACTGCAATAAAGAGAGTCATAATTAAAGTGAGTCAATCTTTTTGCTGGTGGAGGAGGGTCTTCTTACCTTCTTCAATATGTAAAAATCCTAACATCTATGAAGAACAATAAAATGAGGTATTCCTGTATTGCCAGTTACATACCAAAAATGGATGTTTTATAATTGTTGAATTTGAAAAATCATAGCCCTGATAACGTCCCTGAGGATGAAGCAACACTTATTAAATCAATAAAAATCCCTATTGTGAAGGACCAAATTATAATGTCTCAGTAGAGAATAAAAATAGCATACCATCTCATGTCATAAATAAATATAGAAAAATCCTGAACTTTTTAGTTATTACAATATAATAAATAAATACCTAGAGAATGCAAAACTATTATAATTTATGAAAAATATCAACAACTATAAAGAATAACTTTTTAATAACCGTGAAATCATAAACAACAAAGTCCTAAGTATAGTATTTTTACGTGTCTATTCTATTCTAAAAGTTTGCTATTATAAGTCCCATACTTGAAATGACAGAACAATATATGAAGGGAAATCAAGGTAAGTTCATGTTATAAAATGGTTAACTTACAGCTAACCAATAAAAAAGTTGTTAAAGAAGGTTTATGGAAAGCATTCCTAGTCATTCACAGCAGAACAAGGGAAGGTTCTACTAGGTGAAACTTTGATTCTAATTGGTATCTAAAATACACCTTAAATTTAAAAGCATGATATATTGCTTTAATCTTTTCAATTCTAATAGAATCAGAGAGTACAAATCATAGAGTTTACAAGCAACAAAACTTAGGAAAAATAACCTACATTGACTTTTTCTTTAAGGTCTGAGAGGTTGCCATCTTTCCGAAAGATGGCAAATTCAGGACTCTGCAACACAGCTTCTGAACGAGTTATCCAACTGTGAAGTTCTGTTATGTCGACATCCAACCTAAGACAGGAAAAATAAGGATCATTATTTCTTGATTATATCTTTCTTCTATATGGTAAAAGGTAATCTATCCACATTTATCATTCTCCAACTAATCTGAGACTCCCACTCTATGCCTCTGTTATTGTTAAATAGCACTAATATTTCCCTACTCAGGTAGGCTCAAAATGTGGAGTTAGCTTTGGTCTAGAGTCTTTTGATCAAGCAGTTCACCTCTGTGGAATCCCCTATACTAGTAAGTCATTACTCAGCCTCTGATTGAATGTTTGCACTGGTAGAAAAATTACTACTTCCCAAGATAACCCTACTTCTTTTTAGAAACTACTTATACCAAACATAACATTCCACTTTGGGGCCCTATTAAAAATTCTTCTGGTATTTATGCTCTTATATACTTTCTAACTGTATTGACTCTAGATGTGGTCATATGATTTAGTATAGCAAATGGGATATCAGGAAGGGTAATACAAGCAGGAGCTTCATAAGTGCTTGCACCTTAGATCTTGTCCTCTGAGAGCAGACACTAGGAGATTGCAACTGTTAGAAATTCAAACAATCCTTTAAGAAACCTCAAACTAGCCAGCTGGAGAGACCATGTGGAACAGTACAAGGGACCAATCATATAAATAAAGCCTTCTCTGACATCTGGACCCTCTCAAATACCAGCTGAATATAATCAAATGAGTGCTCCAGATGAAACCACTTAGAATCACAGACCTGCACCAAGATCTTACATTGCAGAATTATGGAAAATGATAAATAACTATATTAAGACACTAAATTTTGGGGTTTGTTGTTATGTTGCAATATATATTTGATCATTTGCCCTGATATTCTCAATCATTATTTTATTGCAGAGATCTATAGAGCTAATGGGAGTAAATATCCACTATCATCAGGTCTAGTTAAAGTACAGGTTTTAGGGGACTTGCAAGGTGAAAGATCTCTATCAATCATTTGAAATTCTGTGCACAATTCTGAATATGTGTTTTCCTCAAGGAAAAAAAGCTAGATTTTATCAGCATCTGTAAACCATCTATAAAAATAGAATTTAGAGATAATCTAATTCAATAGTTTATTAAACAAAACAACCAAACAAATGAAAGTATCCAGAAAAATAAATGGTATTTACTTTTCCATAGGAAATGTGAGAAATAGAATAAAAATACTAATATAAGATTTAGACAGCAATTATGTACTTTAAATATTATGCTATAACTTATTTTCAATTCAATCCTCAAATAGTTGAAATCATTTCTTTAAATACACTCGAAGATATCTGTTCTAGCCCAAGTTACTTCAATGGATAAGCCATAGTTTCCTTAAAATCTGGCTGCTAAAGGGATCATATCAGTAATATCTAGTATTATAGGGGGAAAACAGATAATTATCTTCCTGGTTTATAACACATGATCCAGCCTATGAGTTAAATAAATGTTTTCACTTCCATATTACACTTTCAACTCATACTGAAGTTAAAGTGAATTAAACTTTAGGAATTTTTCACAAAAATTATTATTAACCCAGTTCTTCACTATCGCAAACTTATGAACTGATTTCCTGAACTAAAATTTCAAGGCTTTAAATCATATATTAGTAAACATGTTAAAACTTCCCATGTTAGCTGCAGGTTATTAGATTAAAATTAAACTGATATAGAGCCTCACAGAATATAAAGCACTTCCAATAAATTATTTTATCTCAGACTATTAGAACCCTAGGGAAGGAACCTAATTCATCTTGTTCACTATTATATCCTTCACCTCAAAGAAGGCCTGGTTCACAGTAATAAAAGCTACCCAACTGAAATTGAAGGAAGAGATATCTAATTTCAGACATTTTTTAAGCCCAAATTCCATGTCATTAAATGTCAATATTTTATATGGAATATAAAAATGTATGTATTTTTATTGTAACATACATGGTAACTGCTTTCTTACATCTTGCTCTCCCATAAGTTTCATCCCTGGGTTTCCTATTTCTTCATTCATAATGTTGATTTTAAAATACAGGCATACCTCGGATATATTGCAGATTCCATTCTAGAAAACTGCAATACATAAGTAGTGCAATAAAGAAATACCAATCTTTCTGGTTGTAGAAGGTCTTGCCTTCAATTTGTAAAAAACAACATCTGTTAAGTGCAGTAAAGCAAAGTGCAGCAAAACGATGTGTGGCTGTAGAGTCCCATTGTGTGCTTCTACAAATGTCTCCATCTCTCTCATTTCTGTTAAGTCTTTGACTGGCCATTTAACCATCTACCAAATTGAGTACATTTTTCCTTCAAAATGTGTTAAGGGATTTTTGTTTTTATGTTGGTATAATATAAAAATCCATGTGTTTCTCTACCTACAGGCATTCACTTGGCAGTGCATGGAGTGGGATAGGAGTTCTGATGTTTACACCTCAAGAGTAAACTTTAATTAGTGGAACCTGGGAGTCGGTGGATAAATATACCAGCTCCCTTGTTCTTCAGTGTGCAACCATCATGAAGAACGCTATATACAGTGCCTTGGAAAGTTCCAAGAAGAATTGAGTCCCAGTTGTCTCCAGCAATAACCTGCTCAGGTATCAGCCTATATTTTGGCTGCCTCCTTTTCCTAACATCACTTCCCCATTTTGCTTTCTGGGATCACTTTCCAAATAAACTTGCACAAAATTTTTGTCTCCAAATCCACTCTTGGGAAAACCCAGACTAAGACACTGAGCAATAGCTTCAAACCCTGGTTTTCAAGTGACAATTGCACATCGATGTTATTTCTTATCAATTTGGCAGCTACTGTCTCATCATTTTTTGTGGTCTTCCCCCTAGTTTTCACTGTTATTGAATATTTTTTCAGATATCTTTGCTGAGATGTATGCCAAATTAACCAACTTTATGATTCAAATCCATACATTTTTATAAAGGGAGTGTCATCTACTCTCCTCAGCATTTTGCCAGTGATTTTTTTCTATTATACTTTGTACTACCTGAGGGTAGATATTTAATCATAACTGAAGATATCATACAGATGTAACTATGCTCCCTTATCAAAAACCCTCAAAAAAACAATGAATAATTATTTCCAATATTAAATGTCAGATTCTATGCATGTATTTCTCTTCATAAATCACTCATTTCTACTCATTCTTTTTTTTCACTTTTAAAACTCTCACAAAACCATTGCTAATGAAATGACACATAGTATGTTACTCATAAGGGCGTTTATACCTTCAGAAATAGCCCATTAATATATTCCTTACTCATCGGACTTTCATAATGCACTTCACTCTGTACTTAGTGTACTTCTACATACTTTTAAAGATAAACTCTATCCCTTAAATGCAATCTAACTTTATCCAACTTAAAACCTTTATCAACTAAAAATTGACATATTATTCTCCTCTGACAAACTGATTTTTCTTATGCAATTGCTGATGAATCTTGTGTCCTATATTTGTAAAATATGCCCTAAAATTTCATTTGTTATTGTTGACTAGAGGCCCCTTGCAGAAAGATTCCTGCAACAGGGCTTCCTGCTATGGTCTCTACTGCCCCACTTGCTTCCCTCCGGTCTCCGAAGCCTCACCAGCTTCCCTCCCTTCTTCCCGGCCCCCTTGCTTGCTTCTCCTCAGCTTCACTCCCTTCTGCAGTGCTTGGCTTCTTTCTACTTTGTCTTCAGTCTTCACTCTGGCCTGGATATGCAAATTATTTGCATACTCGCCCTGCAAATATGCATATTCACCCTGATTGGCTAGTGGGCGTGGCTTGTGGGTATAGCTAAGGTATGGTCAATTTGCATGTTTCTCTTTTATTTTTTTTATTTTTTTAAATATATTTTATTGATTTTTAACAGAGAGAAAGGGAGAGAGATAGAGAGCTAGAAACGTCGATGAGAGAGAAACATCGACCAGCTGCCTCCTGCACACCCCCTACCGGGGATGTGCCCACAACCAAGGTACATGCCCTTGACAGGAATCGAACCTGGGACCTTTCAGTCCGCAGACCGACGCTCTACCACTGAGCCAAACCGGCTTCGGCTGCATGTTTCTCTTTTATTAGAGAGGATGATTAGCAGTGAATTGACAATTTTCTCTTCTTTACAAAGACACTCTTCAGAAATTCCCAAAAGCAAAATGTGTAAAGTTCTGTAGAACAGAGAGCAATGATGTCTTTGAATACTTTTATTTGCAAAGAGTTTATTACCAACCAAGGTAATAATTTTAGAAGATACCTCTCATTTTCTGGAATTTTCAAAATATCAAAACGTATGATACTTATTGTACAAATCTAGTCTATTTCATCCGGTTGAATTTTCCATAAAGGGGATGCAAATTAAATCAATTACACTATCTTATAGTCAAAATTTGGAGATGTATCTGTATGTGTATGTGTATGTATAAACATTTTAAGTAAATTAAAAGAAAAAAAGACTGAAAAATACCACCACTCAAAAAAACAGAGAAACACTTGCAGTTTAAGAAGTTGCCCATTTTGAATTCTCAACACTATGGAACTTGTGCAATAATATAACTGCTAATTATGCCAGGAGAGCCTCTTGGTGGGTACTTACTACGTTCTGTTAATTTTCTGTACAGTGACTGCTATATAAAGTATTAACCTAAGATGACACATTTACATAAACTTTAATTCAGTCACTTTCAATATACCATTTGGAACTCATCATTCCCAAATGGGTAAATGTTGAAAGTAGAAATCCTTTAAGCTCTCAGACTTAACTAATTTGGTTAGTGAGCTGGTTGTGAATGTCCATTTTACATTTTTAAACATCATTGCACGTACAACTTTATAAAAATGTAATGAGCTTCGTCTTTAGAAGCCTGAAAGTAAAGTCTTGACACCTGTGAAATATGTTAACTCTTACAGGATCCAGAGCTCTAGGCTTAGATCAGGTGATTTAACAAACCAATCTTATTGTACATTTTGATTAGTGAAAATATGCATTTTATATTAATAAAAATGAAACTATAGCCCTAGTCAGTTTGGTGTCAGCCCGTGG